GCCTCACACCTGTAATCCCAGCACTTTGGGAGGCCGAGGCAGGTGGATCACCTGAGGTCAGGAGTTAGAGACCAGCCTGGCCAACATCGCAAAACCTGTCTCTACTAAAAAAAAAAAACAAAAAATTAGCCAATTTTTTATAATATATAAAATTATATTTTATATAATAAAATAAAACAAATTTTAAATCCCATTTTATTTTTGCAATAACCCCAAGGAAGATTTTGGCCCCATTTTACATATGTAAAAACTGGAGTTAGAGATTAGCTTGACCAAAATCATCTTATAATTAGCAGAGAATGAGTCCAACCTAGTCTTTGAGCTGAGACCCTGTTGTTTTTAGCATTATACTACTCCCCTGTATTTCTGTTGTTCAGTGCTTCATATGAGGTTGCACACTTCTTAATTGGACATCTTTTTTTTGAGACGGGGTTTTGATTTGTTGCCCGGACTGGTCTTGAACTCTTGGCTTCAAGCAATCCCCCTGCCTTGGCCTCCCGAAGTGCTGGGATTACAGGCATGAGCGACTGCACCCAGCTGGACATCTTTTTAGTAACAGGCATTGGCATTGAGTCAGGGTCAAACCCAGAGGCAAGAGTGTTTTTAGAGGGTACATTTGCAGGTGGCCAGGGCTGTGCTCACTGCATCATAGTGCACGAGACCTCCCACTGTCAGCCGTGCCTAGATGGCAATGCCCAGCCTCACTGTCCATGGCAGGAGACATTAAACGCCACTCTGACCTGCTCTCTCAGGATGCTGCAGCCATGCCTCTTAGGAGCCTGAAGTCCCCAAGCACAGAGTAGTCACAGAGGACCTCTGCTTTTGTTCTTCAAAGCCCTAACAGTTCAGAGACCCCCACTGGAGAGCAAGGCGAGTGGAAATACAGTCAGGAGCATGTGATTGCCGACTCACTCATTTGAAGGTGACAGCTTTCGGATTGGTAGGTTGGTAGGTGTCAGTAGCTTGTGCACAGAAATAACAAAGAGATGTTTAAGAATCTTGTTTGCCTATTAGGTTTGTGCACACCTCGGGTGGGCTACAGAAAAGCAGCCCATGGAAACCAGGGCAGACTTACAGGAGAGCCAGTTCAGAGGTACATGAGGGTAAAGGGAGATGTTTTTCCCCCTTACCTTTTTTGGAGATGCCCTGGTAGTACATTCCTTTTGTTTGTAGGTCATACTAGCTGCTTTGTAAGATTTGTCTGAGAGTATCAATCTGAAATAGGCCTCGGCTTCCAATGGAGCCTCTCTTTGCATGCTCTCCTTCTTGGAGTTCACACGACCCTGAACAGCTGCGCCTGGCAGGCTGCATATAGGCTGGGCTAGGACATACCCTTAGCTCTGCCCTCAGGAGGCAGTAGACTGTGGTCGTGCTTGTCAAGGTCTTCTCGCCTTCTTGCTTCGCTATAGAAATTCCTCATTGGATAAGGCCTTTCTCAGCCTCGCATCCTCTGACAAATGTCTAGGGAGCTTTGTGCTGGACTGTGCAGAGAGGCTGCACAGGGACAGAGGGTTGGGAGGTGGGATGGGAATATCGGAAGGTAGCATTTCTGATGGACTAATGAGTCCTAGGAAAAGCCGGATGTGCCTCATTTCTCAGAAGGACTTTCTTCACATTGTTAACTCAAACGTGGGTCACAGAAAATAGGCTGGGTTAGGGTGAACAGATGACTAACACAGTGGTGACCGTGATGTGTTAACTGGGTTTCTGAGAACTAAGTGCTGAGAGCTTATTACGATGTTCAGTACAAGGGTAACATCTAACCTAATAGATGACTGTAATGTGGCTGTTGGATAAGAATTTAACTCTTGAGATTTGAATCACACTGAAGGGCCCTGATTACTCATTTGAGAGGTATTTATTGAGGTCTTTAGTAACCTTTGTACTGTGAGACATCATCTCCTTATCTCCTGGGTTTTTGTACAGCAGGGTGTACCTTGTGACTTGGAGAAGTTGTGTTTTGTGTTAATCTCAACAAAATACCTCTCAGCATAGGAGTTAGAAGTTGGCTTACCTGGGTATGAGTGGCAGCAGTGTGGGAGGCCTATTAGAAATCGCCCTGGGGTTTGTGGTCAGGGAGGCTGCATTTCAGCCCAGCTCTGCCAGTGACTCTGTGCCATCATGGCCTGGATTCTCTCAGAGTCCCTTAGTGCCAATGTGTGACATGGGTGTGGTATTTTACCTGTGACCTGCTGGCTGTGTTGAGGAACCGTGTCCACATGTAGCTCAGGGTCTGGCACACCTTAAGCACTCACACGTATGACACCAAGAAGAGTTGTTTGTGGGGAAGAGGAGGGAACCTTACTACTACACCCACCTGAGGAGTAAGGGGCAGAGGGAAGCCAGGAGTGTGGTGCCTGTAGGACTGCTGCCACGGGAAGGAATCCAAAGCGAAGGGAAAGTGCACCCAAGTGACAAACCCAGTGTAATCTGACTTAAGTTACAAAAGAAAATTGGTATCATCATTGGGACATCATAGAGTGGGTCAGGATTCAGGCTTGGCTGGATCCAGCAGCTCAAAGGAGTCTAAGGGTAGCTTCTCTTGCTCTCATCCTCAGGCAAGTCTTTCTCCACACCAGTGCCAGGGTTCCAGGCTTATAGGACCCTTAGATCTTGATTACAGAAATGGAGACAGCTGCTTTTCTGACCTCTCTGTCAAAAGTCTCTCTGTATTGCTTCAGAGAGCACCGTGTGTTCCTATTGAAATCAGTCACCATGGCTTGGGGGATCAGAAGCAAGCATCAGCCATGCATGGCATAGACCAAAAACCAAGTAGAGAAAAATCCAGGAGGGTTGGGTCCCCAGAGGGATGCTGCATATATAGACCAAGGTTTAAAAACTTAACAGTGCCTGTGTTGCATAACGGAAATATGGGTTTCTTTTTCCTAAATTCTTGTAGTGCTGTTTTTCTGAGTATATTTTACTTTATAAATGGGAGGAGAATAAAAAGAACTTTTTTTATGAGTCTGTTTGTTTTGATCTTGTCCCTAAAATGATTTATGATAGCTAACAAAAACATGTAAAAGGAAAAGATAGATAAGTCCAAGTACAGTGGCTGATGCCAGGAATCCCAGCACATTGGGATGCCAAGGCAGGAGGATCACTTCAGCTCAGGGGTTCAAGACCAGCCTGGGCAACTTGGCAAGAACCCCATCTCTACAAAAAATACAAAAACTAGCCAGGGGTGGTGGTGCACACCTATTGTCCCAACTACTCAGGAGGCTTAAGCAGGAGGATCACTTGAGCTGTGTTCATGCCACAGCACTCCAGCTTGGGTGACAAAGCAAGATCCTGTCTCAACTACATAAATAAATTCAAAAAAAAAGATAAGCAAATGAGATGAGGGGAATATACGAGTAAGAAATAGTAACCAAGGGAAAATTCCTGTAGATTTGCCAGAAAGAGAGTATCTAGAGATCAGGAAAAGCCTTTTCATCTGTTTAGTTGGGAAATGGTGGAGGGATATGTCACTCTAAGCAAGCAGAAGGAAGGGTAGGGATTCTGGGGCTCCTGGTTTTAAAGATGGTTGCCAGCTACATCTAACAAGGATGTTCCCAGGGTCCAACGGATTGTGGAGTATGACCACCACCTTGGGTCACCTGGTCTGCTCCGTCATGTCTCAGGTGGGATCATGAAGTGCTTAGGTGGTGTATTAGTCTGTTTTCACACTGCTGATAAAGACATACTGGAGTCTAGGCAATTTATAAAAGAAAGAGGTTTTATTGGACTTACAGTTCCGCATGGCTGGGTAGGCCTCATAATCATGGCGGAAGGCAAGGAGGAGCACGTCACATCTTAGCATGGATGGCAGCAGGCAACAAGAGAGCTTGTACAGAGGAACTCCTCTTTTTAAAACCATCAGATCTCATGAGACTTACTTGCTATCATGAAAACAGCATGGGAAAGACTTGCCCAGTGATTTAGTTACCTCCCAGCAGGTCCCTCCCACAAATACGTGACAAGATTTGGGTGGGGACACAGCCAAACCATATCAGGTGATATACTGGATGCCTGTGGGATTTGCTTGTACAGTTTGCACTGATAGCTAATCATCTTCCAAAGACATGGTTACAGAGACTATTCGTAATTTGTCATCTCTCCTGGGCAAAACGCTGTTAACTCACCCTTCACAGAGGTGGCTTTGTTTTTCTATGCAGTCATCCATCTCACTTCTAGTTTAAAGTGACCTTCAAGGCTTGCACCCAACCCCAGAGATACAAAATTTCTTCCTGGAAATCCAGTACTCAACATACACCTGCAGTATCCTTGCCTCTGAGACCCTCCCAGGTGGGGATTCCCCCCATATAAACATGTAGTTTTTATTTTTGCCTATCTGCATCTTCTTTGCTTGCCATAATACCTCAAAACCAGGGTCACAAATGGGGTAACCATTTCTTTCTTTCTTTTTTTTTTTTTTTTTTCTTTTTTGAGATCGAGTTTTGTTCTGTCACCCAGGCTGGAGTACAGCAACTCAATCTCGGCTCTGCAGCCTCTGTTTTCTGGGTTCAAACAATTCTCCTGCCTCAGCCTCCCAAATAGCTGGGAGTACAGGCGCCTGCCACCACGCCTGGCTAATTTTTATATTTTCAGTAGAGACAGGTTTTCTCCATGTTGACCAGGCTGGTCTTGAACTCCTCCCAAAGTGCTGGGATTACAGGCATGAGCCACCACGCCTGGCCAGGGTAACCATTCTTGATCAAATTAGGGGGATCCTGGTGTATCTAGCCTTTTCCCCCAGCACCTGGTCACTAGTCCTACATTTAAGAAAAACTCACCTTTCCAGGGTCTGGTGACTTGGTTTCTCTGCCTGTTGAGCCAGCCACATTGTGTTTAGACAGTCTGGCCATTCAGGGGTCCTCCTGACAAACTCAAGATTTTGGGAAGACCGGCAAGATGCCACAATGGGGGAACAGCTAGTTTTTGAACAGTGCATGTTAGGGTTTGGCACGCAGGGGTTTTGTTGTTTTTAAATTGACTCTTGGTTACCTCTCTCTACACAGACAGCTACAGACAGTTCTTCTAATTCCTCTCAGAAGAGAGAGCAACCTACGCGGACAATCTCCTCTCCCACATCCTGTGAGCACCGGAGGATTTATACCCTGGGCCACCTCCATGACCCATACCCCACGGACCACTATCACCTCGATCAGGTGAGCAGCACCCCTGTTCCTCTTAGGGCTTCAGGGTGGTGCCTCTGATTCCGGAACAGCCTCTTTCCCCTCCTATTCTGCCAAATTCCATGACTGCAGTCCTCTCCGCTCCCCTGCTTTTACTCCCACTTCATATTGAAGGTGGCATTGGTGGTGGTACCTCAGCCTCACCCACTGTTTCTATGTGCCAGACATTTTGCCAGACCCCTTATATGCTTTACATGGTTTAATCCTCAGAAACTGCCCCACAAGGCAAGTCATCAGCCTCCCCAGGTTATAGATGAGGAAGCTGAGGCTTAAAGACACAGAGTACCTGATGGAATGAGATTCAGATCCAAGCCTGTCCTCACCCAGAGGGCTACACTGCCTCCTGCATTCCTCTGTCCAAAGGGCCTCCCGGCTTTGTGTGGAAGCCCAGAGCCATAATCAGGACTAAGGAGTGCTGCACACTTGGCTTGCACCACCGGCCTCACAGGCGACAGGTCCAGTCTTGCGCAGGTGGATGGAGCTGGAGCTTGGAATTCAGTAATTCAACAAATATGTACCAAGTGGCTGCTTTGCAGAGCAGGTTCCCAGATCATGGAGCATGGACTGGTGCCTGTGGGGGTGCTGTAGCCACTAGGCTGCTTTGAAATGAAAAAAAAGAGGCGTGAGTGTTTTTGTTTTTTCTTCTTTTTTTTTTAACAAAAAGCTAGATTTATTTGACTCTTTTTTAAAAAATTATTTTATATTGTGCTTCCAAATATTTTGGCATTAAAATGTCCTATTTAAAAATCACATTATGGTAACAGTAGATGAAAATTAACTTTTTTACTTTCCTTACTATGCAAAATAATTGGTAAAGCCTGTGTCAGCTTCCGAGATTTGTTTTGAAATCCTTCTGAATCGTGATTTTCAAAAATGTAGGCAACTGTGATACCAAGAATTTCAAAATGTAGACAACTCTGATACCAAGAATTTGACAGGAATTAAGACAAAACGTGTGGGACATGGCCCTGCCCTCTGGTGGGAAGTGATGGGTTATAATGTCTGTAACAATATGATAATGACAGTCATGGCAACAGGTATCAAAGTGCATCCTGTGAGCGAGGCTGTGAGCTGACACCCTGTGTAGATTATTTCTCTTCATTCTCACAACAGTCCTATGCAGTTTGACAGAAAGGAAACCTGAGTCTTAGGTACTAGCTAGGAAATGTCAGCATCTGACTGCAGTGGGTCGCTCTAGAGCCATGTTCCTCAGCCCCTGAAAAACCTTCATGCCCAAAGGACTTTGAAAACAAGAAGTCTCTCCAGCCGGATGCAGTGGCTCATGCCCGTAATCCCAGCACTTTGGGAGGCCGAGGTGGGTGGATCACCTGAGGTTGGTAGTTCAAGACCAGCCTGACCAACATGGAGAAACCCCGTCTCTACTAAAAATACAAAATTAGCCAGATGTGGTGGCGCATGCCTGTAATCCCAGCTACTTGGGAGGCTGAAGCAGGGGAATCACTTGAACTTGGGAGATGGAGGTTGCGGTGAGCTGATATCGTGCCATTGCACTCCAGCCTGGGCAATAAGAGTGAAACTCTGTCTCAAAAAAAAAAAAAAGGAGAGAAAAGAAAGCAAAAAGTCTCAATTCTCTGCCTCCACTGAGAGACCCTGAGTAAGCGTTATATACATGTATTTAATAAATATGTATTCAGTGTCTGCTGCTCTGGACAAGGCAGGGTTGCAGACCGTAGCAGGACTAACTGCAGAGAAAAGCGTCTTCCACCCTGAAGGAGAATGCAGTTTAGATCTGTAGGTTTATAGAAGGTGCGGCTCAGGGTCTGGCCTCTCACTGTTTGTGAGATCCTGGCAGGAGTCAAACTTCAGGCAGGCAGTTTCTGGAGTCTTCACTCTTTCTCCGGTCTGCATCTTATCTTCCCAATCAGATGACAAGGTGAGCCTTGTGTTCCCTAGTGTCCCCTGTCTTTTGAAGGAGACCCACAGGGAGAAACGCCTCTCATATTGTGATCCTTTGTGGACATATATTATATACATGGATAATGAAGTTTCGTAAAACAGGACTTACCTCATAACATGTATTGCACTCCAGTGTCCTTACTCTATGTCAATTTTTTTTTTAAAGCCAATCTTAGAAAAGAGAACATACTGTACAAAAGCAGAAAAACTAATGCAAGCTTTAGAAATCAACATAGCCCTCACACTGGGTCTGGGAGGTCCCTGAGGTAGGTGGAAGATATTCTGGGACACAGGTCCTATTCTGCCTCTTGATCTGAGTGTGTCAGGCTCCCGAGAATGCATCACACTGCGCCCTTGCCATATGCACACCCCCCTGCCTATATGGCACTGCATCCCCTGAAAGGGGAAATACTGCTGGTCTCAACCCACAAAACTGATTTCCTGGCCCAATAATGGATTGAGACTCTATTTGAAGTAAGCCTTTGACTGGACAACATGATATTCAGTAATTTCAGGAGGGGTCTTTTTTCATGGAATGCCCTAGTGGAGTTCTCAAGAAAGGCGCATTTTGGAGGGCTGGGGAGGGAGAAGGTGGGGTTTGTTTGTTTTTGGCCACTGCTGTAAAATAATGTCTCCTCTCTCATGGAACAGCCGATGCCAAGGCCCTACCGCCAGGTGAGCTTCCCGGACGATGAGGAGGAGATCGTGCGCATCAACCCCCGGGAGAAGATCTGGATGACGGGGTACGAGGATTACCGCCACGCGCCCGTCAGGGGCAAGTACCCAGACCCCTCGGAGGACGCAGACTCCTCCTACGTGCGCTTCGCCAAGGGCGAGGTCCCCAAACACGACTACAACTACCCCTATGTGGACTCCTCAGACTTTGGCCTCGGCGAGGACCCCAAAGGCCGTGGGGGCGGCGTGATCAAGACGCAGCCCTCCCGGGGCAAGTCACGGCGGCGGAAGGAGGACGGGGAGCGTTCGCGGTGCGTATACTGCAGGGACATGTTCAACCACGAGGAGAACCGCAGGGGCCACTGCCAGGATGCGCCCGACTCCGTGAGAACTTGCATCCGCCGGGTGAGCTGCATGTGGTGCGCGGACAGCATGCTCTATCACTGTATGTCGGACCCCGAGGGAGACTATACAGACCCTTGCTCGTGCGATACTAGCGACGAGAAGTTTTGCCTCCGGTGGATGGCTCTTATTGCCTTGTCTTTCCTGGCCCCCTGTATGTGCTGTTACCTGCCCCTTCGGGCCTGCTACCACTGCGGAGTGATGTGCAGGTGCTGTGGCGGGAAGCACAAAGCGGCCGCGTGACTCAGTTTCCCTCCCTTCTCCCTCCATCCGCAGCCACAGGGGAACTCGTCTCTTACATACTCTCATCTTCTCCCCCGCTCCCTTCCACTCCAAGGAGCAAGAGAGCAAGAGGCCTCCCAACTCCCGGGTACCTTGAGACACCATTCCAGCCGGGGACGCTGCCGGGTAGACTCTCCACTCCCCCCCACCGCCCACACTGCAGCAGCCACACCCATACACACACGCTCGCACAGTGTTCTGAGGAAGGAACCTTCGCCACAGACTCCTGTACTATTAACAATCTGTAACCAAGCTAACTGTCTCATCCATGTGTTGATTTCCTGTTTCCTCCTCCCCCGCCTCTTCCAGTTCAAAGGAGTCTGCAGTTGGAACTGCTGATTTTCGGTGGGTTTTGTAGTTGATTTTTCCAAGAGCGTCAAAGACTCTCTTTCTCTTGGTTTACCTTGCCTGTCGCTAGCAAGCATCTGGTTCTGCGGAAATGGGATGTGAAGATGATGAAACCCGACAGAAGTATCTCAGCCTGCAGTCAGTTATTATGTATAGGAGGTGAGCTAGTTAACAAACTTGTACCACAAAACAATATCGCTTTAACTTTTCTAAAGCCAAATTTCCCATGTAAGCTGCAGTTTCTATCTTTAGCCCATCATCCTTTTCTGCCCCCCAAAAATCTGTTGAAATGATTCACTGATGCAAAACATTCACCCGTAATAGACTGAGAATTGAGCCTTAACTTCAGATTAACTTGTGAGAATCAGGAAAATTCCTTAAACTGCGTTGCATCCTCTTGGACCAGGGCTAGAAAGGGGATTTCAGGTTTCTCTGAGCCTCCCCAGTTACCCCTAAAGTAGAACATTTTTTAAATTGTGTTGCCACCACTTCTAAAAATTTAGCAATATTAGAATAGGACAGTAATGAAGTAAGAAATTTTGCTTGTTATTTTGCAAACCAAATAGTTTCCTCAAACACAAGCCAGTGTTCCCACGAACAAGTTCCAACTGAGAAACACTAAGGTTGTAGTGAGTAAAACCATAGGGAGCTTTCCCCCAACCCCTGGCTATTTTATATTAACGGGGAGAGGGGATTTTTAAATGTCATAAATTTGAAGAGTGGTGGGTTGCATTTCCTTCATGGGTTTATATTTTTGTTTTCATTTTGGACTCAATTTCACATCACCAAATTCCTCATTTATACTTGGGAAAAAATAAGGCCATATGTAAAAACCCTTCCAATGCCGAAGTGTCTTTCTCCTGCAACTCCAAACCCAGACTTGCCACTTTGGGTGCATAGGTGGTTAGGTCAGCCATCTGGTTCTGCCTGTCACCTCGCCACGGAGGAGGCTTCTAATTAGCTGGAAAAGAGTATTTTTCTAATATGTTGCAAGGATTAACCAAATCTTCTTATGGAAGAAAGAAGAAGAGTGAAGAGTGGTTACCTATACCTAGCATAGTACAATCAGAACCCCGTGGAGAGCACCGGGGATGGGCTTGTGGACGCTGGCTGTTCTTCCCACCACAACTTTTCTGTGATAACGGCAAGCAGAAGACATGGCCTGCTCCCCCCTCCTCCTTTTCCCCACTCCTTTATTGCACACAGGACACCAGTCTTCAAGGAAAGGGACTTTTTTCCAGTCTGCCAATCATATTGGGGAAGTGCTAGCTGTGCTCACCTTAACGGGGCTGTTTCCAGCTTGACCGCAAGCTCGTCGCGTTCCTTTAGTAGATTACCGGTGTAAATACCCAGTGTGCTTATGAGTCAGTTAGTAGACGTCTTCATTCGTTGGAGTAACTGGTTTAGGCTTTCCAGTTTGGAAAAGGAGCAGAGAGCTGTCCATCTGGATTGATGGAAGAGAAGAGAACCTCATCCATGCCTGGAGAACATCTAGAAAACCTTCAGCCAGCCTCCAGTGCTGTTGAGAGGCCACCTTCCCCCACCTGGAGGCATCTCCTCGGGGTCTTTCTCTAGTATCTCCTCTCTACAAAGCACAACACTAATGTTTGTTTCCTTAGACCTCAGTTCGAGTGCCCCTATTTATTTCAGTAAGAACACACATAGTCCAGCTGTTTTTCGTTTGTCACCTCTAGTTGTTAATCTGTTTCTCTCTTCTGAACCCCTTGTACTTTTCCACCCTTTTAAGAGTTATGCTAGCAAATCTTACTCCACGTATACTTTTTGGTTTGTGAAGGCATCGGTTAAGGGCACAAAGACAGCCATGGGGACATTTATGTAAATGCGTCTCTCTAATTGCCACACTGCAGCTGAACAGTGTGTAGTATTTTCCCAGTCAGCTTTGCCATACTGACGTCAATCATTTGAGAGAAATTATTCAGATTTTATTTTTGTATCTGTGGTAACAAAACATTAACCAAAAGATTTTCTGTCCAGAAGCTTCCCCGACCCCCCAAGCTATTTGCTCACATTAACAAATTAAAGTGCCTGAAGCATAATTCATTCTTTACCTGTATACTAAAAACCCTGTTGTATTGATTTTTTTATAATAAGCCTTTTTACCTCTGTGTAAAAAATATATATACAAGTGTATGATGTACATTTTAGTTCTTAACTTTTTTTTATGGTTTCTAATATGTATGACCAATGTAGCCATTGTTTTAAAATGTACGGTGTAAATATAAACACATCCTATCAGATCGCTGGCTTTGGGGTATTTGTCTGGCTGGAGATGGGGTGATGCTAGAGTATTGGCAGATCTTGGAGTTCCCACATACAGGATGGGACAGGGCTTCCTGTGCTGAAGGACATGTAGACACCGGTCTGTTTTTCCAAGGCCCTTTCCTCCTATGATTATGTCATATTCCCAAGGGGATACCAGCTTCTTGGGCTCAGATGCCTCAGTGAAAGGAAGGCTGCAGGTCGCCGCCCAGGAACACCCCCTCTTCCTAGGCCTGGCTTGCCCCACGAGCGCTCCTCAGAGGGAACAGCTGTACTTCCTCTAAGTTGTTTTCCACTGATCCCTGCTAAACCTCAGGGATATGTGTGCTTGTGTATGTGTGTAGTTTGGAGGACAATTTCTCGAAGAAAACACTGCAAGATGGTTGGTCTCCTCGGAGCAGCTCTCTTTGGCCCCCTTTCCTTTCCAAATGGACTCTTTGGATGCTCCAAAGCTACAGTGACAATCCCCAGGAGGAAATAAAGTATGAGGTCTTTTGAGGATCACAGAGAAAAGTTTCTCTAGAGAAAGGAGCAGGGCCCTTAAAAGGAGATATATAGGAGGGGCCCTGCATCTTAGTTTTAGGTTTTCAGTTTTAACTTTTCCTAAAGGGGGAGATTTTCCCAAACCACTGGCAAAGTGAGAAGCATGGAGAGAGGCTGGAAGTTAGGAAGTGAGAGGAGGACCTGGAGGAGTGGGGAAGAGTCATACGATCTCACTTGTCCTCATGTTTCCTGCAAGACAGGGCCCTCCTATCAACCCTGCTTCACAGTTGAGCAATTGGAGCTTAGAAAGAGTGAGTAACAGGTAACCTGTGGTCCCAGAAGAAAAGGACTGAGCCAGGCTGAGCTGGGCTAGCCAACTGCAGAACCCAGGTCCTTACCAGGCTTCACTGATGGCCTCTGTTCCCTCCCTCCCTGCTCGTGGCCTTGACAAGTGGGTGCCAGTCAAGAGCCTTATCCTGTCCATCTGGTTCTCTGAGGCACCCTCAGGCTGCCTCAGGTATAGCTTGTCTTTTGTGTCCTATGTGCTAGGCCAGGAACTGGGCATTCTGCAAATGTCATGTTTAACTTCCTACAGAATGCAGGATTCTTTTCCACTTTAAAACTGAGGAAGCATGTGAGGAGAAATAGCAGTAACCCTCAGTATCCATGAGGGATTGGCTCCAGGAACCCCTACAGATAGAAAATCCACAGATGCTCATCCCTGATATATTTGTATATACACATCCTCCCTCTTGTATCGGTTTTTTTTTTTTTTTTTTTTTTTTTTGGTACATGGTAATCACTTTGTTGCCCAGGCTGAGTAGTGGTGCTCCCACTTCCTGTATACTTTAAATCATACTTGTAATACCTAATACAATGTGAATGCTGTGTGAATAGTTGTTATACTGTATTGTTTAGGGAATAATGACAAGAACAAAAAGTCTGTACGTGTTCAACCATCCTTTTTTTTTTTTTTTTTTTTGGAGACAGGGTCTCATTCTGTCACCCAGGCTGGAATGCAGTGGCACAATCATGGCTCACTGTAACCTTGACCTCCTGGACTCAAGTGATTCTCCCACCTCAGCCCCCCCCACCCACCACCAAGTAGCTAGGACTACAGGGGCACATCACCATGCCCAGCTAATTGTTTTTTTAAATTTTTGGAAGAATTGGAGGTTTTACTATGTTGCCCAGGCTGGCCTTGACCTCCAGGGCTCAAGAGATCCTCCCACCTCAACCTCCCAGAGTGCTGGGATTACAGTCATGAACCACCATGCCTGGCCCTTTTGTTTTGTTTTGTTTTTTTCTTTTCTTGTTTTTTGTTTTGTTTTAGGCAGAATCTCTCTGTGTTGTTGCCCAGGCTGGAGTGCAGTGGCGTGATCTTGGCTCACTGCCACCTCTGCCTCCCAGGTTCAAGTGATTCTCCTGCCTCAGCCTCTCAAGCAGCTGGAACGACAGGCTCATGCCACCACACCAGACTAATTTTTTGTATTTTTCGTAGAGATGGGGTTTCACTATGTTAGCCAGGATGGTCTCAGTCTCCTGACTTCATGATCTGCCCACCTCAGCCTACCAAAGTGCTGGGATTACAGGCATGAGCCACCAAGCCAAGCTTTGTTTTTTTCTTAATCTCCATTAAAACACTCTTTTTTTAAAAATGAATATTTTCTTTTCTGTTTTTCTTTTTATTTTTTGGAGACTGAGTTTTGCTCTTGTTGCCCAGGATGGAGTGCAGTGGCACGATCTTGGCTCACTGCAACCTCTACCTCCCAGGTTCGAGTGATTCTCCTGCCTCAGCCTCCCAAGTAGCTGGGATTACAGGCACCCACAGCCATGCCTGGCTAATTCTGTATGTTTAGTAGAGATGGGGTTTCACTATGTTGGTCAGGCTCATCTCGAACTCCTGACCTCAGGTTATCCACCCACCTTGGCCTCACAAAGTGTTGGGATTACAGGCGTGAGCCACTGTGCCTGGCCTAAGTGAATATATTTTTGATGTGAGATGCAGAGTACATGGATACAGAGGACTGACTGCACCTAACTCCATCAAGGTTGCTGGATAGTCTTTCTGCCATCACTGGTCATTAGCTCTTGGGCAAGTGCTTTCACCTTTCTGAGTTTTCTCAGATTTAACAAGGGATAATACCTACCCTCAGCTGGCATGAAGGTTAGGTGATATGCTGGAGTTCTAATGCTAGGTCCTTTCTCAGTCCCTTCTGTATTCTAAGGCCCTGAGGAAACATCAGGAACTGGAGAGAACAACCTCTTTCAAGGCACAGGAGGCCAAAGCACATTGTCAATATTTTGTGAGTATTTAGATCCACATCCTGTGTATTGAGATTTCTATTTCTTAACTTCTATTTGATCTGAATTTGGTTTTGGGTTCTTGCTGACCCAGGTATGTTAACAGCTCCAGGGATGCCTGCAAAAGTCCACTAGGCTAGCTGGGTTTCTGGGAGCCAGTCCATATACCTAGGAAAAAGTCAGTGGCCTCTGTGGGAGCAGTTTTGCCGAGAGGACAGGGTCCTGTTCAGCACACTTGCCCTGGGTCAGAGCACTGTCTCCAGAGTACTGCCTGAACCTCCCACCTCGCTTCTATGGCCTTTGGGGTCCTCCTGCAAGTCACTCCTCTGCTCTTCCTCCCTACTGCTGCCCCGATGCTGGTCCACCACCCCCTCCCCCAGTAAGGGACACTCCCCAGAAAAGCAGGACACTCACTTGCCAGGGGAAAAAGTATTGTTAGAGGAGTTCTATTTTACAGGACTCGCAGGCTGGGTTTTGTTTGTTATGTATCACGACACTGGAGCAGGCCATCACAGGGCCATCTGTGTGAATGCTGGGGGCGGCAGGGTGTGGGGAGGGCGCTTGTGAAAGTGCCCGCCAATGCAGGTGTCCTCACTGCAAGCTGGTTGGTCTTTCTTATTCGTGGGGTGAGATGGTTAGGAAAACCACTCTTCCTTTGTTTAGAACTGAACTAGGTGCATGGAATGAAGGGAGATGACCCTGGTCACATCTTGTAGGACCAGATACCAGTTGTGATTGTGCAAATCAGGGCTTGACCCATCTCAACTGGAGTAGCCACTGGTGCTATTGGTGCTGTGGTGGCAAGCTGAGCCCCTAAAGGGCAGTGTTGGGGTGGGGGAAAGCATGTATATTTATAAAGGAGGAAAAAGACAGTTATTATGTGATAATTATACCTGGTAACCTTTCTCCCTCATCATGTCTCTTTTTTTTTTTTTTTTTTTTTGAGAAGGGGTTCTGATTATAGAAGTATCATATGTAATTATTAAAATGTTATACAGGCCAGGTGCAGTAGCTCATGCTTGCAATCCCAACATTTTGGGAGGTCAAGGTGGGCAGATCACTTGAGGTCAGGAGTTCAAGACCAGCCTGGCCAACATGGTGAAAACCCATCTCTCCTAAAAATTCAAAAATTAGCCAGGCATGGTGGGGCACGCCTGTAATTGCAGCTACTCAGGAGACTGAGGCACAAGAAGTGCTTGAACCCAGGAGGTAAGGGCTGCAGTGAGCTGATATCGAGCCACTGCACTCCAGCCTGGGCGACAGAGCAAGACTCTGTCTCAAAATAAATAAATAAATAAAATGTCATACGATATAAAAATACCAGTCTCCTTGTTATTTTGCCAGGGCTGCCACAACAAAATACCACAAACTGGGTGACTTAAACAATAGAAATTTGTGGTCCCACAGTCTGGAGGCTGGAGGTGGAAAGTACGGTGTCGCAGGGCTGTGAGGCCAGGTTGTGCTCCAGGTCTCCCTCCTTGGGTTGCACATGGCCATCTTCTTCAGGCCTGTTCTCATCGTCTTCCCTCTGTGCATGTCTCTGTGTCCAATGTCCCCTTCTTACAAGGACAGCAGCCATATTGGATTAGGGCCCACTCTAATGACCTGATTTTAACTTGATCATCTCTATAAAGATGTTATCTCCAAATAGGTACATTATGAGGTCCTGGAAGTTAGGATTCCAACATATGAATTTTGTTGAGGGGGTAGAGAGGGACACAATTCTACTCCTGACATTCCTCTGTCACTCAAAAGGTAACCACTCTGTGTCCTTCTGGACTTTTTTCTATGGATTTATAAACAGATGTATGTGTGTGTGTATATTTGGTTTGTTTGTTTGAGACAGAGGCTCACTCTGTCCCCCAGGCTGGGGTGCAGTGGCACGATCTCTGCTCACTGCAACCTCCACCTCCTGGATTCAACAATTCTCCTGCCTCAGCTTCCTGAGTAGCTGGGATTACAAGTGAGTGCCACCACACCCAGCTAATTTTTATACTTTTAGTAGAGACGGGGTTTCACCAAGTTAGCGAGGCTGGTCTCAACTCCTGACTTCGTGATCCACCTACCTTGTCCTCCCAAAGTGCTGGGATTACAGGTTGAGCCACTGCACCCAGGCGTGTATGTACATTTGTGTGTGTGTATACATGTATTTTCCCTTTGGAGAGGAACTAAAATAGGGTCATGTATTCTA